AAACATTTTTCATAGAAAACAAAAATCTTTCTAAGAATGCAAGTTTCTAATTTAAATGTTGAAACGTTTTTATCTCTTTGTTTTCTTAATTACTGTATTCCATATCTTTAATCCATATTTTATCTGCATTCCATAATCTTTACCAAAATATCAATTCAAATTACTTATTATTTTTTTTACAAACCATTCAAATTGCAAATTCGTTTGAAATTTTTTTTTGTTATCTCACAATATATAATATCAATCGTTATTAATTTTTTATATAATATTGACATAAGAAACATATGAAATTTGGCATATTATTATATTTATATTTACGATTAATTCAATTTTAATATTATAATATCAACTAACATCAAGTCGACTTTATAATCTTAATAATCTTTCTATTAGAATTTTTACATTTTATACAGATAATTATAGAATTTTATATCTATCAATTTCTTATATTTAAAAAATACATCTAAAAAATGCAATAATTAACTTGCTTTTTACAGCAGACAATTAATTAATGAGAGGACGAGAATTATTACATACAGCAGTTACTAACTATGTTAGTAACTAATCTATAGTATCAATTTAAAATGACGACCTGCAAAGTGAATGAACTTGAAATCTGAAATATAAACAATATATCTTTCTATATTATTTTTAAATATATATGTAATAACTAAGAATCAGATCTAGACGAACATAAATTTTATTAAATTTTAATTAGCTGAAGATATAACTACGTTAATATTTGAAATTTAAGATCTGTCAATATAAAATATTTATTTATTTAAAACTGATTATGTAGACTATAAATATATTTATATATAAATATATTTATATATATTTATAAATAAATATATTTATATATATGTAGCACACAAGAGTAAAATACATATCTTATTTCATTAATTTCATATAAAAAATTTTTTATTATTAATTCTAATACAAAAACATAATATTATACATAACAAATCAAGAATGAATTACAAATGAATTGAAATGAATTACAATTAAATCTTCAGTTTAAAACGATAAGTCATATTTACTAAATTAGAATTTAAAGTATGTTTTAAATGATAACATTATTAGTTTCTTATAAATTATAAATATATAAATTTATGAAATACAAATTATAAACGTATATTATAGTTTATAATAAGTATATTATAGTTTATATGAATTAATGAATTACATAATATAAACATACAAATTATAATTTACATGTATATAAATATTATATAATAAATATTATAAAATAAGTTGATACACTCAACATTTTTTAGTTTTATAGTTGCTCACGTGCTTTGAATGCCATTGTAATGAATTGTAATACGAATAAATATATATATTTTAAAATTCTGAATACATCAGATTATTTAAAAATTATCCAAAATGTCTTTATTGAAAATAGAAGAAATACTATATAACTATAAATTAACATTCATGTCATATGGATTTAACAAACGCACAAAATTATTTAATTATACTTGTCTTATGATATAAAAAATTCTTCGTTCAATAGCTGGTTATCTTCAATATATTTCTTTTGAGTGTTATTTTCCGCATTAATACGTGTATTAAATTTGCATATTACTTAAACATATTATTGATTCTTTTAAATTAATATATTCAACTATCATTAAATACATCCATTAATCCATTAATTAATTAAGAACAATTTCGCAAATAATGAATGTATGGTTGAATGCATTTATGGGTCGTATTTCAAATATAAATAAATATTTCATTCGTTTCATATCTCAAAACGATAAATTTAAAACGCAACATTGTCAAACATATATTATATTTTCGTCCAATCTTTTCTACGTGCTCTTCATAAATATTACAAAAAAGACTTATATTATTAAAATGTAATTAATTTAATATTAATTTTATTTAATCAAAGAAATCATACATAGTTAAAGAAAAATTTTGAAAAAAATCAATGCAGAATTGCATTATAAAAAAAAATAAATATAAATATAAAACATATAAACATGTTAAGACATGTATGATACTTTTTAAAGTTAAATTAGCTTTTAATTCTATTCATGTAAGTGAAACGTAAGTAAAGTTTTAGATGAATCTACATAAATTTTTTTATTGCTTTCTCTAATTCTAATCTAAGAGAAACAAACAGCAAATATAATTTAAAAAGTTAAGAAGAAACTTAATCGATTAAGAAGACCTCCCCTCCTCTTTTTCATTTTCATTCGAACGAAATTCGAATTTCTAACAAACATATGTTACATTTAAAAAATATCAGCAAAAAAATTTATATTATAGAAAAATAATTATATCTTAAATAGATTCTTATTTGTAAAATAAATGAGAACGCGTTTCTAGTAGACAATTCTGCATAAAATTCTGACAACAAATAACGTTTATCCGTACGGTCAAACAGAAGTAAGAGGTTCTCCTCTTCTATAAATTAAATTGTCATTACTATATTATCTATTATGTACAGACGGCAAGTTCTCGATTTGATAAGATAAAAAAGAATTACAAGTATTTAATAATCAAGACCAAAATAACAATTCAACAATTAAACATTTCTTTTTATATCATACTTTTTAATATTCTTTTATTGTTTAAGAATAACTTTCTACTGATTTTTATACATATTTAAATTAAATTAAGAATTCAAAAC